TCAGAGATCCCCGCCCGGATGGACATGTCAGAGAACACATCAACAAAATGTATGAGAAAAGACCGTGTCTAACATAAGTATTAATGCAAATGATAACTGGAATTTTAAATTTGTCTGACCAGCAGTCCAAAATCAAGATATTCAATTTACATTTTTTGTATAAAAGCAGAAAATCCTCACATTTGTCAAGCTGGTATGATGAGTTAGTTTTATCTTATATTACTCTATCGTCAGATTTGCTGTCAGTAAATTTTAAGTTAAAAATATTATAATAGTAATTGGGCAGTAAAGCAATATCATATATAGCAAATTAACAAAAAAATCAATATATGTATATAATGCTTATATAATATTATACTTCCTACGCAATTCAAAGGACAACATTTGTCCGTAAGGGGGGGGACAGGGACAGAGAGCTCCATGGACCAGGAGTGGTCAGTTGAAGAAAGCCTGAGACTGGAAGATGTTGGACGTGGGCCAGTGGCTCACATCACCTAATACGATGGTCCAACAACCTGGGCGTTGTCAACTTTGTAGAATTGACAGTACCCTGGGAGGATAATGTTGATAAAGCGAATGAGAGGAAAAGGCTGCAGTATGCAGAAATGGGTTTTGAGGCAGAGCAACGTAGCTGAAAAGCATTAGTCTGCCCTGTGGAGGTTGGCTGCAGGGGTTTCCTTGCAACATCCATCATCAGGTTGCTCAAAGATCTGGGGATCCATGGACAAGCCCTGCACCAAACCATAAAAGAAACATCACACACTGCAGAACGCTGCAGCCAATGGCTCTGGATCAGTAGCAAAAATCGTAACTGGGCTCTAAGATACAAGTGACATGCACCCAGGTGTGATCGACCTGCCTTAGAAGAGGTTGTCTTGTGATCAAAAGACCGAAACAACTGAAGATTGTCCCTAACATCCACTGATGGTCACTAACATCGGATAGCATCAACTGGTGTTGTGGAAAAAATGAGTGCGGCAGAACATTGGAAAGCGTTTAGTTTAAAAAGGCATAGAGGTAATGATGTCTGATCTACTGAGCGGGCCACATGGCTTTCAAAGTACTGCCATACAATCCAGTAGCCAGTCAGATTTCACCTTTAGCCTCAGTGTACTCAAGTTCGGCCTGTATCAATGATTACAAAGCCTAAACACTTGATGGTGCTAAGGGAAGTTATGTCCTTAACATCCACTGGCAGCCACTAACACCTGCTAACATCTACTGGTACTTGGTAACCTAAATACAAAGTGCAGAAGACCTTCAAATGTACAAGGGATACTCAACATCTGGACCATGTTGTCAAGTGTAATATAAACAGCAGGTCATTTCTGTTCACTCAATATATAACTTCACACTGTCAAAGATTTTACCAACTGGTCTCTAATCTCACCCTCTGTCCTGTCGCAGTTCTGGGAGGTGATCAGTGATGAGCACGGCATCGACCCGACCGGCAGTTATCATGGAGACAGTGACCTGCAGCTGGACAGAATCAACGTCTACTACAATGAGGCTTCAGGTAAAAACACAACCACACACATACTACTGTGATATGTATTTTCTAATAGATAGTTTTAACACATGCTTGTTGTGTTCAAGGTGGGAAATACGTCCCGAGGGCCATCCTAGTGGATCTGGAGCCAGGCACCATGGACTCTGTCCGCTCCGGCCCCTTTGGCCAGCTCTTCAGACCAGACAACTTTGTCTTTGGTACAGTCACAGTCACACACATGCACATCTATGCTGTCTATATTGAGAATTAAAACAGTTTTAGAGTTGAAATGACAAACTAAGACAGTAACGATAAATAAGGCTAAACAGTCAACAAGTTTTATTTGTATTTTGCCAAGTAACAACTTACATTATCACAAGTTGCTTTTACATAGTAAGGTCAAGACCTTAAAAATTATAGAGAAACTCATAACGAGCAAACACTTTTTACAGGAAGAAACCTCTAGATTCAATGTGGGTGACCATCTGGTTCGACTGATTGGAGTGAGCAGAGAAAAAAGAGAGGAGAGGTGGGTGGAAAAGAAGACGGAGAAGGGAGAGAGAGAGAGATAGAGACAAACCAGGAACAGTTGTGTAGCTGTCATATTTAAGCTCTATCGGACTGCTTGCCATATGAAAGTCGTATTATTAATACTTGTGGGTGTAATGATGTTATTAATGATATAAACATTCAAAGGGCAGATTGTAATGAGTCCTTTGCCTCCAGGCCAGAGTGGAGCAGGTAACAACTGGGCCAAGGGCCACTACACAGAGGGAGCTGAGCTGGTGGACTCCGTCATGGACGTAGTGAGGAAGGAGGCCGAGAGCTGCGACTGCCTCCAGGGTTTCCAGCTCACACACTCCCTGGGCGGTGGCACCGGTTCTGGCATGGGAACACTGCTCATCAGCAAGATCCGCGAAGAGTACCCAGATCGTATCATGAACACCTTCAGCGTGGTGCCCTCTCCTAAGGTACAGAGATTATGTCCCATTTCTTTTTGTTGGTTTTTTAACGTTTTCTGGCTCTTCAGTGCCCTGACCTCTGCGTGTTCCATCTCCAGGTGTCAGACACAGTGGTGGAGCCCTACAACGCCACCCTGTCTGTCCACCAGCTGGTTGAGAACACAGATGAGACCTACTGCATCGACAACGAGGCCCTGTATGACATCTGCTTCCGCACCCTCAAACTCACCACACCCACTTACGGAGACCTCAACCACCTAGTCTCTGCCACCATGAGCGGTGTGACAACATGCCTGCGTTTCCCCGGCCAGCTCAACGCTGACCTCCGCAAATTGGCCGTCAACATGGTGCCATTTCCACGTCTGCACTTCTTCATGCCCGGCTTTGCCCCCCTGACCAGCCGCGGTAGCCAGCAGTACAGAGCCCTCTCTGTGCCCGAACTCACTCAGCAGATGTTCGATGCCAAGAACATGATGGCCGCCTGCGACCCACGCCACGGCCGCTACCTGACCGTGGCAGCCATCTTCCGCGGGCGAATGTCGATGAAGGAAGTGGACGAGCAGATGCTGAATGTGCAGAACAAGAACAGCAGCTACTTTGTGGAGTGGATCCCCAACAACGTCAAGACTGCAGTGTGTGACATCCCTCCCCGTGGGCTCAAGATGGCTGCCACCTTCATCGGCAACAGCACAGCCATCCAAGAGCTGTTCAAGCGCATCTCCGAGCAGTTCACTGCCATGTTCCGCCGAAAGGCCTTCCTCCACTGGTACACCGGCGAGGGCATGGATGAGATGGAGTTCACTGAGGCGGAGAGCAACATGAATGACCTGGTGTCCGAGTACCAGCAGTACCAGGACGCCACGGCTGAGGAGGGCGAGTTTGAGGAGGAGGGAGAAGAGGAACTGGCCTGAGGCTGAATTCACTCATCATTTCTCCACTGCACTCGTCACAACTCCATCCAACCATTCATTCTTCCCCCGACTTCAGCCCTACTCTGTTCACTACTCTTTATTTTACAGCCCCCTTCTTCCCTTGCTCTCTTCCCCCTGTATTCTCTGTTTTCTTTTCATTCCTCTCTCTTACATCTCTCTTCCTCTCTCCACCTTGAGTAGGATTTGTAACACTGTGCTGACCCTCCCATCTTAGTTCTCATGTAGAGATAGCTAACATGTGTGCTTGTGCTCTTTGTTCTGTAGCCTTCAGGTGATGTTCATTTATCACCGAGCAGTTCCATCAATAAAACCGTTCAACTCACCAATATCTGATCACTCGTCTTATTTGACATTGATTGAAATAAACCTGTTGGAAAAAGTATCTTTCTGTGTGTTTGAAGAACTTGTGTTTGATACATAATTTAAAAAACTACTGTTTTTATTTTAAAATAATTTTCCAAATATCGTAGATGGTTTTAATTCATATTATTTCAGTAAAGCTCATCCTGCTAGCAACCTCTCCAAAAATATCTCTTTAGAATTGTTAAGACTAAACAGAATGAATCAAAAAGAGGGTTTTCCTCTCGATGTCAGTATGAAACTAAAATGGAGACCTGTATTGTTAGATGTTGTAATGTTGCTTAATGACCACAAGGAGTCAGTGTGATCTTTGAGCTGGGTTCCTCAGCAGGATATGGACACTGCTTGTTGTCCACTATGAAACCAATATTAGCAAATGTTCTGATATGATAGAAGTACCAACCAAGCCTGTTTACTTGGAAGATTATAACATTATAGAAATATTCCTGTAGTCAACACTGTTTCATAAACAGTGGTGGAGGGAGAACTCAAGCATTTAACTTAAGTTTAAAGTACAAATTAATAGACAAAATGTAGAAAAGTAAAAGCATCAACCTTTCTACCGAGTAAAAGAAAGTAAGTACTTCTAAATATACTTAAAGTATTAAAAGTCAAAGTACTTGCAGACATCCCCTACATCATTATGGAGTCTTGGCCTTCATTGCACCAATTATTCATTTTCAAAATATAAAAAAACAATGTAAACATGTGCAGTGTAAAAATGTGGTGGAGTAGAGAGTACAGATATTTGCTCATGTATGTAAAGTGAAAATTACCTAATAATAAATCTAGATTAAATAAGGCACAGAAGGTGTATTTAAGTACAGTAAGGAAGTCATTGTACTTTACTTACTTTTACATTCCACTACATTAATCAGCCCTAAACAAACAAAATATCAAACAGCTTTAATGTTGTTGGCACATTACAAAATCATGGAGATCACTTGTTTAATGAGTTTAATAATGGCCATTCCACTTTATATTATAGATGATCAGCTTTTAAAAGTTTAAAACTGGAAATTAAAAATCAAATCATAGGAATTCAGTAATGGTTCTTAATGCAGAGATGTTATTCTACAATTTGGATCCTCTCATGCAGATACATACGATTAGATCTTTTCAATAAGTAAAGGCTGAGCAATGAAGAGCTCAGAAGAGGTGGTTTACAACAGACGTCACGCATACATTGACACAACACATAATGAGACAAATCAGGAAGTGTTGGGTCACTCTGTCGCTGTTTGTGCAGACTGCTGTTTCTGCTGTCCTCTATCTTCACATACACCACATCAGGGTGGGCACCTGCTGAACACCTCTACCCCCCTGGACTAACACATGGACACGAGCACATTCAGACAGCATGGGCTCCAGACTGAAGTAAGTTATATCAAGTCATTTTCTTCTTCTACTTTCATCATCATCATCATCATCATCATCACTCTGTTCTTGTGGTTTTCATTACTTCCTCTCGCAACTGCACAGGAAGTTTGCTCTAGCAGCTCTGTTGCCCCTGAATCACTTATATACATTTCATGTTGGACCAGTTGATGAAACTACACAAGAACTAAGTTTAATAATATATATATATATATATATGTATAATGCACATTGTGATCTCTCTATTTCTCTCGATTATTATACTTTCTTGAATTTTTAGATCTTTACTGTTAATATTTGTAGAGTTATATTTTCACATCTTGTTTTGTGTGCTATGTGCCCAATACCTTAATCTATCCATCCATCCATCCATCCATCCGTCTAGACATCTCTCTCTCTTTGTCTATAATGAAGACATCACATTTACCCTTATCTTTTATTTCACTGTGAGCAGAAAGTTTAGAGAATTGTGATTCCAGAGAAGTGATAAATCTAGAGTAAATTCAACATTGATGTGTGGTTAATGGTAATGCACTGTACTACATCTTGAACATCTTTGCTATATGTCTTTCCTGTCAGACAAAACCCTGATCGAACCTTCCACTGGTTCTTTGAAGCAACTTGCCCTGTTGCCAGAGACAAAGGTGAGGCCTCTGTCCCCATTCCCTGCAGGGCCAGGTTAGGCAGGACAGTGACCTACATGAGTGTAGTGATTTGTCAGTCAAAGAGAAGTTGATAAAAACTTGTTCCTGAAACACTTTCCTCTGACTTAGCTCATTATCTTCTCATCATTTTTCAGCCTGACGCACAGCATGACTGTTTATCACCCTCTGAGATTGGCTTCAAAAACAAAAAAGCATCTCCAGATCATTTTCTGTGTAGTAAAATAATAAAATGTTAAGACTTAGTGCGTGGTGCTGTAGAGCTGAGAGTTGCTTGTGCTTCCTGTCATGTGATCAGTCAAACCACACAGCCTGCTGTCTAGTCATATTTGAAAATGATGCGAACATGTGGTGATGTGACAGACAACTTAGCGAGCTGAACGGGTTTAAAAAACATTTCGTATTCTCATGCGATAGTTAATGAATTTGCCCATTTCTGATCATTTACCATTTATACTTTATTTTCTTTCTGCCTTGTAAAGCTGGGCGAGGATGTCTATTCATTTCTTTTACATTTACAGATCCTGGTGTGTTGTTTCAGTTTCCCGAGGACTTCAGTGATGAGGTAGCCCCTGTCTCCTGCACCTGTAACATTATGTTTGTGGATATAATGTCACATCATAAACTAGAATGACACTCAGTAGAGTAGAGTCCACCATAGATATCAGTTCCCTAAATATGCCTGTTTTTTTCATCAATATTCATAAATGATTGACCCTTTGTTTGGATCCATGCCGAAATGTGATGGTTTATTTCTTAGCCCATGCCCCATCTTTCCACTAAGTTTCAATAAAATCAGTCACACATACAAACCACCAAACAGCAATGAAGACATTGAACCTTTTTGGTGGTGGTTATGACCACGGCAGCTTGTTTTAGCCTCAGCAGCAGCTTGGTTCTACAGATTGTAATGTCAATTGGTTCATCCATTCACCACTGTGGTGCAGATTATAATATCGTATTAACTATTTCATGGACTGCCATGATTTCTTTCTTCAGACAATCATGACACCCAGAGGATGAACTTTGACCTCCACTAGGGAGTTTATGTTTGTTTGATAGTTGGCAGGATTATCTTGTGAATTTGAATGATTTCATAAGGGGACAGCTCTTGACTGAGCTGTGTGCTCTACTGAGTGACATTGTAGTTATAACTTGATTGATTTGGTGACTTCTCCTGTTCAATATCTTTGGTAATCCCCTGATTGTTCATATAGCTGCAGTATCTGCACTAGTTTTAATTTGATAAACATTTCACATTCCCATCAGCCTGAGATGTACTTGTGTCCACCAATTAGCAAATGTTAGCGTGTTAACATGCTACATTAGAGCTACTTAACAACACCACTCTATAGCCGATTAACCAGAAGATTCTTCTTTATTCCACCAATGGATTTCATTGTTTTGGTGCAGGGCCTTCATTAGAGTAAAGGGACTGACACATGTTAATAAAAAAAAGATGATTCCTTTTAGTCTGAAAACCAGTGTTGATTTTCTCTACTCTTGTTCCTTTAGCTTCAGGAATGATTAGAATGGGCATACCTCCGCCAAGGCCGAACAGTCCCCTCATGACACGACATTTAAATTCACTAGATCTGGATTTTTATTTGGATCTGCACAAAATTGCACACACTCATAAATATCAGTCCCCTAAACGTCTTGGACTGTTAAAGGAACTGGGATCTGGGAAAAAAAGTCAGGATCTGGATCCAGACCAATGTTTAATAGTAGTTTTTGTGTAATCCAGCTAAATAACAAACAAACACATACAAAAACATAACCTCTTTGATGGAGGTAGCAGGACACTCCAACAAATACCTGCATCTACAGCCTCACAGATACACCAGCATGGCTGCAGACTCCTGATCTCTTGAGGTGACTTGCTTTTGCTTATTTCTCTCTTCTAGGAGTCCTATCATACGTTACCTAGATTCTGCTTCCCATATGACATACAGAGGTGAGTAGAAACTGGCTGGTCTGCACCTCACTCCAGCTTCTTGCCTGTTTTTGTTTTCCATGTGTCCACCTCTGTTCATGTGCTCAGAGTGAGGGCTGGGGTGGCCGTGCAGCACTTCACTTTCGTTCTCACTGACCTTGAGGGATGCCAACGCTTCGGCTTCTGTCGTCTTGCCAACAGCACACACACCTGCCTTTGCATACTCAGGTACGTGTGTGTGTGCGTGTGTGAATGCGTCAAGTTAAATCATGACTTTAACAATTCAATTAAACCCATTTTTCTTCCATTCAAATCAGTTATCTTCCATGGTTTGAGGTGTTTTACAAACTTCTCAATAACTTGGCTGATTACCTGACAAAAGGACAGGTGAGTTTCCACAGCTATTGTCTTTGTTTCTGCTTCTACATTAGTCTTTCATACGGTATAATTAACATAATGTCTTCTCAACAGACCAATGAGATGAAAGCACTGTTGACTGCTCTCTACCAGCAGCCCGTACCAATGACAGCGGGATCTGTCACTCTGCAGATGGTAAATCTCTAATAAGCCAATAACAACCAGGGGTCAAACCTCAACTTTATGGCTGTTTTCTGTTGGTGGTTAGTGTGCTGTTTTTTTTTCTGAGGGAGAACAGCTATTGGTCAGCACAGGGGTGTCCCATCCTGTCGGACACCCAGAGGGACAAGAGGGGGTGAGTCCTGCTGAGCAGAGACGAACTAACTCCTGCTGGAAAACGTCAGCTGTCTGTGCTTGTTGACTAAACCTGCATGTGTACAGACTAAAACCTTGTCTCTCAGCCCTCGACTCAAACTTTAACACCATTAACATCCTACATTCAGTCAGTTTGTTAACTCACTTACTGTTATGTATTCATAACCCGTGATTTTACTGACCGCAGTCTTATGAGAAATACCTCAAAGGTACAGCTGAGTGGATTTTGTGGATTTTTGCATTTCATTCTAAAAAATCTGCCTCTTACATATTCATACACTAAAACAATTCCTGGATTCAAAAGTATAGACAATATTCAAGTTTTAACCTCGTTTTAACAACTTAGTACTATTGATTCAAGAACTGTAGAGTGCATTAGTGGGAACTTAAAGAAAAAATATGCAACATTTTTTAACAATAAAATAGCAGCTCCTAAATTAGATTGACGGTTCACTGACTTGGGATTGTAAGAATGGAGCCTCAAAATAATTGCGGTGATTGTTACGGTGTCTGTATTTAGAACGTCTGAAAGGTAGAAGCTAATCAGCACAGAGTTGCATGCAGATGGCTGCAGTTATTGTGGTGAGGAGGAGATGGCATGGAGAGAACTTTTTTTTTTTCAGAAAGTGAACTGCACCTGCTGCTCAATATTGGTCAGAGGCATCTCTTCCACCAGCCCCCCACCTCTTTCATTTGGTTTAGGTTTTATTTTGAGCTATTTTTTCATGTCCTGCCATCTTCTCTTAATGTTGTTGTTTTTGTTTTACCCACAGCGTTTACTTTCTTGCAAGTACTCTCCCATATCGCGTTTCTTTGAGTTATATTAATATTTCTTTGCGGTAATTCAGTGTTGCTTCAAAGTGAAGATGAAGTTTAATCAAGCACAGGAATGGATGAGTACCTCATTAATGATGAAAACCTGTGGAAACACAATGAAGGACAATAGCAGGAAAAAAAAATTCTCGCAGAATTTTGCAATGAAACTCCAAAGTCTGATCCTGTAGCCTTTGATGCTCACTTGTTTGAATGATGCTGAAAATACTAATCCAGCAAAAAACACGTTATTCATTTAAGTCACACAGGTTTATTAACATTTGTCTGTTTCAACCATTTTGACCAGGTTCCATACTTTATTGCTCCAGACCCCAGAAGTCTCCCTTCCATCCCTGAAAATGTGAGTTTGTCAGATTAAAATAATCCTTTGTAAAGCGAGTGGGTTTTTGTGCAATATACTTTGCCCATTTAAACTGGTTTACTGTGTGTGTGTGTGTTTACCAGAGGAACTTAACAGAGCTGATTGTGGCAGTAGATGTCGGGAACATGCTCCAGGTCTATGCCAGCATGCTGTTTGAGAGACGCATTCTGATCATTGCCAGCAAACTCAGCACTGTAAGACTCACAATATTCATCCTACTATTTTTTATTGTATTATTTTTGCCTTGCCTAAAAAAGGTTAGTGCCTTGCCTTAAAAAGGTAGCACTACCCTTTTTTAAAATCATACTTGTCATAATGTCTACAAATAACCCTTCAGCACACACCTAACCTCCAGTGAAGACAGAAATCACTCAAGCTTGTGGAAAATAATATCATATATAATAATATATAATATAATCAGTCGCAGTGAAATGGGGAGAGCATCTTACACTTAAGTATAAGTTTCACAAATAACAAAATATTTCATTTATTGGATCATCAGCTCCACATCATAAATATCAGGACTTTCAACAGTTTGAGAGAAACTGTGTCTATTCTGAAAAAAGAACCATGCGGACTTGGAGGAAGTGGCTTTTTTTTGCATGAAGGGAAGTTTGAGAGCGGACGACTGTAGAGTTGTAGTTAGTTACATCTGAATAATACTCAAAGGGTTTTCATAGTTTCTAAGGAAACAATGAGATTAGTGATTGAGAATGTGGATCCAGAATGACAGTCCAACAAGCACTGGTTGTTTCTGTATTTATTTTAGATTTTTTTTTTCATTAAATTATGAATTTATTCTAATAATATCGGGAAATCCACCATACAAACAAACAAACAAACGGACAGGAGTGAAAATATAATATCCATCATTGTGCTGCCTTGAAATCACATACCAGCCAACATGACATGACCACGCGGACATGTTTGTGTGTCCTTTGCATTGTTATCGTCTAACTCTGCCTTCCATTTTGTTTTTGTAGCTGACGTCTTGTGTGCATGCACTCAGCGCTGTGTTATACCCCATGTACTGGCAACACATCTTCATACCTGTCCTGCCACCTCACCTACTTGACTACTGCTGGTAAGAATCTGTCCATCTCGTCAGCTTCCTGTGCACTGACCTTGGATTAATAAAAGGTTTTATTTGGTTACAGTGCACCTATGCCTTACCTAATAGGGGTCCACACCAGTCTAGCTGAGGTAAATTGATGAAAAAACTGCTTCAGTCAAATACCAAACCTTTGAAAATCTACCACCAGGTTTGTCCTCAGAAATGACTTGTCTGTGTGTGTCTGACAGATGGTGAGGAGTCGTGGGTTGGAAGAAGTTGTCGTTCTAAATGTGGACACAAACACTCTAGAGACGCCCTTTGATGACCTTAAGAGGATACCTTCAGATGTGGTAATAAATTCTCTGTATGTAGGATTGTGTGCTTTTTTTGTGATTCTATATGAGTCTCCTTTTTGTTTCCTGCTTAACACTTTGTCATTTTGTTTGTGTCATAAGGAAAATTTGACTGAAACATTAACTAAAAGCTTTTTTTAGATGATGGTCTGTAGCACAGAACGAGGTGATGCATGGTAGTCAAACTACAGGAACTGAACTTTGAAGTCACTTTTACACATTCTTGTGTATTTCCTCCATATATGAAGAACCAATTTGAGGTCAATTAAACCATCAAGACAATGTTGTTATTTTGGATTTGGCCAAATTTTGCAGCAGCTGTAGGTTTGGTAGTCTGCCCCAAAAAGTTTTTTCGCAAAAGCCAAATAGTTAAATCACCTGAGCAGGGACATTTTGGAACGTGTAATTGTGGAAAGTTCCTGGGATGGAAGAACTACTGCAGTGTCAGATAAAAGACAAAACGTTTCCTCCCTCTTTCACCTTACACACTCCCTCCTCATATTCATTTGATGGAAGGTTGCCGTTGTGATCGTGATTAGTTTACAGCAGTAGCATTGTAGGTTCATCCATATTAATGTTGTGTCGGGGAAACTGTTTCCAGATGTCTGGGCTGAAGCTGTGTCTGAAGCGTCACGCCGTGTCTCCTGGCTGCGGGGTCGCTCTGGCCTTCCTGAAAGCTCAGGCTCTGCTGTTTGGAGGCTACAGGGATGCACTGCAAACTCACGAGGTGAGTCACTCACTCATTGGGTAATTAATAGTTTGCACTTTAAAGGAGACATTTTACTTTTCTAGGTTTTCTCTCCTCTAGTTTGTCAAATATGTTTCGTGTGTATGTGATAGGTCTGGAAAGTTAAGGTACTGGCCAATCAGTGTTGACTGGACTTTATCGGGCCTTATCCGCATCAATCAATTTTCATTTAAAGCACACCAACTCTGCTGCAGATACTCCTGGTGTCCACACTACTCCGGAGTTTTAGAACCCTGACTAAGTTTGAAAACTCCAGTTTAGCCTGGATGAAAACGATGACGTAGACACTCACATCCACTTGGCGATTGGGTCATTTTGGTTATGAGATTGCCTTTGCTTATTCGTCATGGTCAACCTGAGTAGGACTATTACATACAAACTTTTGAACCTAAATATGAACATAACATCTCTCCTTAAATATACATGTAAACTCAGCAAATCTGCTTTATCAGGTCGGAACAGAAGGTCTGTGTATATCTATTCTGACTCTTTATCTCTCTCTCTGTTCTTCTTTGCAGGAAGGTGAAATATGTTTCAGTGAGAAGCTGTTTCTAGATCACAAATCTCACAGTATGAGGCAGTTCCTGCAGAGTGCTGTTCACTTACAGCTCTTCAAACAGGTAAACCCTGCGCTGCCATCTGCTGGATAAATACCGCAGTTATAACAGTGAAGAGGAGGTCGTATGGCAGAGAACAGAAGTGAAATGTTGCAGCTGGTTATAATAAATATCTCACACATCCTTTGATTTTAGATTAATAATATAATGGATTTTTTCACCAAATCTGTGTGGTAAATTATATGGGACTTGGTATTTCCACGTGGTTAAAGCCACAGAATTGACTCTAATATCCAGTTGTTGTTGAAATGATCCTGTCTATCAAATAATAAATAATATTTGTATTGTTTTAGTTCGTAGATGGCCGCCTGGATATTCTCAACAAAGGGAAGGAACCAGATGACCTCTTCGAAGAAGAAATCCAAAAGTGTGAAACAACAGCTGGTGTGTGTCTCAATGTGTGTGTGTCTCAAATGTTCCATTACTGACTTATCACTTATCCTCTGTATGTCTGTTGATCTGCAGGAACAAGTAAATCATATCAGCAGTTAGTTGGTAATTTAAAGGTGAGTTCTTTTCATCTTTAGTGATACACTTTTGTATTTGGGCATTTTGTTTTCCAAACTTGTTGAAAAATGCAACACGGCTGCTTTTGCATTCTTGACAGAAAGGAGGAGGAGCGCTAATCCTCAACATGAAGTCCAAAGCACACATGAGGGTGAGTAGAGGTGTTTGTGTTGGGAGGAGTGCAGCAAGTGAATGTTGTGTGCAGCGCCAACACAATTCTCCTCATCATCTGTTTTATTCCCTCCAAGGCCAAAGGTCTCACCAAGTCTGGTCTGAAAAACCTGCTGATGCACAAGGTGGGCTCCTGTTTATCTTGGCATGCGCTTTGTTTGGTGTAAATTCTGCAGAAGTTCGCTGTGTCACTTCTGCCATCCTTCCTGTTTTGTGTGTACATTGCAGGCCCACAATGAAGAACACACCCTGCAGAGAGGAGGATCAGTGTCACACCGCCGTGCCCAATCTGACTGCCTGCAGGATCGCCTGCCAATCACACAACACTTCGGGATAGTGAGACCTCTCTCAAAACAATCACATGTCTCATTTGCACACATCAGCCTCATTCATTTTTAACGCTTTGTGTCTGTGTCGCCTGGTATCAGCCACGTCCCCGTCGGCCTGTGCACAGATTCAGGGGCCCCAGAGACCAGAACAACATGAAGGACACAGGAGATACATCGGATGGGTGAGCAGGCGTGCAAAGTAACAAAGTACATTGACCTAAGTACTGTGCTTTTATGCAGTTTTGAGGCATGTACTTTACTTGGGTATTTTGATTTTTTGCTGGTTTAATCCAATTCATTTCAGAGGGATTTATTGCGCATGTTATTTCAATACATTTATCTCACAGCTGTAGTTACAAACTATTCTTTCAAAGTAAGAGCTTGCACACAAACATCTGGCGGGTTTACAAAATGAGATGTATTGTAGCAGATTGAGCTGTCCAGAATCCAAACAATCCAACAATGATGAATTGTTGGATTTTATATTATATTATATTTGGATGTACTTAAAGTAAGTGAATGTCTTTGACCAGAGGAGTTAAGAGACAGAGAAACGGGGAAACCCAGGTAAAACATGAGACAACCAGCCTGTTTGTGTCACTCTGTTCTTAGAGCTGTGTCTGAGGCTGTGGTTGAGCCTGACTCTGACCTCCAGAAGAATGAAGAAGAGGGGGAAGATACGCTGCTGTGTGACCCAGAGGAGATGGATTTGCTCGGGGAGATTTTTGACACCCTCAGCTCCCGCAGCTTCCATGACCGTGGCGTTCTGTACGGCACCCGGAGCCTGGATCTGTTCGGTCCAGACAGTCATGATTATATCACAAAGGTAAGAACACACACACAAACACACACACACACACACACACACACACACACTATAGTCTAATGGGCTATTTCTATTATTCCAGTTTGGTCCAATCAACCCCAGCCAGGAGAGCCTGTGTCTGTCCATCAGCGGCAGTGGCAGCCTGCATAGCTGGAATCTGGAAACCACAGAAGACGTGACGGAGGACTTTGATTGGCCGTACCTAGACATTAGGGTACCAGAGCACGAGGAGCCGGAGAGTCTACAGGCAAGATGTGAAAGTGATGAAAATGAAAGAGGACTGAGAGAGTATGGAGAGAAACAGGAAGAAGTGAAAGAAGTATTAAATGGGAACCAAGGAGGAGAAAAAGAAAACACAAATACATTTAAGGAAGAGGAGTTTGAGGAACAGAGAAAGAAAGGAGGTGAGGAAATGAGAGAGAGCCTAGGAGAAGAACCAGTGAAAGACAAGCGAGAGGATGAAGGGATAAACGAAAAAATAGAAGATGAGAGAAATAAGAGTAACGAGGTAACTGAAGGACACAGAGAAACAGATAAAATACAAAAAGGTGTAGCCACAGAAGAGAGACATGAGAACCAGGACAACCAAGAAAAAGAGGTTACAAGATCCTTAAACAAACTTATAAAACTGAATCCCCATGATCGCAACATGGTGAAGGAGCAGCAGGGACAACAGGAGAGTGCCAATCCAGAGAGCGCAGCTTCTCCTGGGCCTCAGAGCCTCGTCGCTGACCATCAACCTCCAGCAGGCCAGGAAAAAAAGTGTGAAGAAGCAGTAATGAAAACAGAGCAAGAGTTAAGACAAACCCCCTCTACGCCAAAAGTGCAGTCTGCTGTGGAACGCTTCCATTGTCGCACATCCAGCCAGAGCTTTCAGGTGAGGTCCAGGATCATGGGTTCGTCTGAACCTGGGAGACCGGGCAACGTGTTGTGGAGCAAGGAGAACACACAAACCCACCACGTCCTGCCACGTAACTTAGATACATCAGAGAACAACTGCCCAGAGGTCCATGAGGAGAAAAAGGCCCCTCCCATCAAAGTGTCTGAACTTAAGAAGAAATTTGAGCTTAAATGATAACGCTGTTTGTTGTTGGTGGTGACAAGTCCGGTTGTTGCTATTGAAGATGTAATTCAGCATTGCCAAACTGCCCTAAAGGCAGACTTGAGACATCATGTTTTGTGAGGCCACCATGACCTTTAACCTCCAGACCTTAGATCTTGAACTGAAAAGAAAGAAATTTGAAAGAATTCCCTGAAGGTATTCCTGATATATTGTGTTCACATTCACATGGTCGAACATGGTCAGAGTTCACACTGACCTCGACCTTTGACCCAACTGTAACCAGCTCATTCTTCATGACATTTCAAGACATTCTTGAGATATCGTGTTCACAAGAATGGGACAGACAACCTGAAAACTGTCGCTGATGCAAAAAAAATTGGGACAAATATATATTTTTACTTTTGAAAAAAGGCACCAAGAACAGTGGAGCACTTTTTAGTTAAACGTTTCACATACTAGAGTTAATTTGCTGTATTGACGTCCATTTTCAGCTGCAGTTACATTATGTGTTATCAAGTCAAAATAAACTACAGCACCGTGTGGCTCAGGTCAACAAACTCATTCTTGGCGACACAAACGGTCAGGTGATAAATCGTGAGAATATTTTAACTAATTTTTGAATAATATGAACCTAGTTTACTTGACGGAGAGGACTGGAACCACGGCTAAACACAAGAAATAAATGAATTTCTAAACAGTGAGGACACTGAGTGGTTTACATACAGTATCAGCTACAGCTTGTCAGATACACAAGTTTGAGTATTATACAACCGCATGTGTTTGAAAGTCTCCATGAGCTAATGCCAAGAGAAAACAGACAAACGCTGAGGATAATAACCTCATATTTGGTAACTTTGGTAATAATAAACAGAAAGAGCTGCAGCACTGGGTGTGCACATTGTTGGTTTATTTACAGAACACTGTGAACACTGATTTTGAGTTTTTCTATGAAATTGAGCGGACTTAAAAGTGCATTGTTAGTGTCTTTTAATCAATATTCTTCCTCTAGACATGTTTTATACATTTTTATACACATTATAAATATACAATTACAGTGACCTCTGTACAAATACAAAATATACTTAAGCTCATATCCCTCATGTGGCAGATAAAGGGAGTAACTAGTTAAGATGAGGGAATATTAACTCATGAGGGAATATTAACTCATGACATATTTCCTCTTCTCATGCAGTGACACATGTGCTGGACAGTCTGTTCAGTCTATGTGTCATCACCGGGGATGAAAAGGTGCAGCACAAAATGTTATGTGAAGATTCCTGGTGCAGAACACAAACGTGGATGATCTCAGATTAGCAACAGCACTACATTAGAAACCAGCAGGAATCTATCCACAGGTTTACACAGTGACAGAGGAGAGAAGGCATGCAAGGCCACTTCTATCATATGAGTCGTTCCTCTTTGGGCAGCGGCAGAGGCAGGCCAGGTTTCTCAGATCCTGCTGCTCCTGTCTGTTTCCTCTCCTCCGCACTGGGCCTGTATGTTCCCTCCATCCTCCGTTTCTTCCTGATGACACACAGCAGCAGCAGCAGCGTCAAACTGAGTAGGGAGAGTCCGGTGGAGACGAATACTGACACCGCAGGGGGCATCGACACCTGCATCGCCATGGTGATAGAGACCTGGGGGAGGGAGTCACACACAGGTCAGGATGTCAGAGGGGTCGGTACACGTACACGTACAGCTGATGACGGTTCTACTCATCACTTAATCTGCAGTATCAGTATTTCCCTGATCAATTCATTGATCTGATTCACTAAGAATCATTTAGTTAATTTCAGACCATAAAGAACACAAGAGCTCAGTAGAGCACCAAGGCCCATCAGTCCATATGAAACCATATTGAAATTCACTGGATCTGGATTTTTTGGGGCAATCTTCACCGAATTGCACCCATTCATAAAAGCCATTTCTAATTGTTTTCATAAAGATCAACAAGAATGGTCAACACTGGATCCGCTAGTAAACACCCTAACTGACCTATGCTGAAATTATCCACCAAGTCTTGTGGTTTTCATTCATGGTTTTAGCTCAACCCTGCCAACCAACTCCCAAACACAAAGATGTGTAAGTTTGAAAGTCTTTTAAAAATATTTTTCTTTCACAATGACAATTGTGACAATGACAAATTAATCCATAACCAAATTTTTACTAAACATTTAATTGTTTCCATTTAACGATAAAATACACTTCTGAAAGTGAATGAAGTCAAAAAATGTTGGTGCTGGTGGTTAAAGCAAATGAAGACGAGACCTGAAACCAACACAACTGTAATGTAAATATTCTTTTTCCAGACGTGGGAGGGATTTATAGCAGTAGAAAGTTCTGATCAATTCTTCACACTGACTTGGAAGACAACTTTAAATGTTGAACAAGAGTATAATGTTATTACCATGACAACAACAGCAGCATAGTGTTTAAAATCCCACCAGGATATGATGTTGTCTATAGGAGGAACATGGGAAAGTATGGACTCAACAGTAACCACTGAATTCAGACCTCTCCGACACACAGAGACACACACACAGACACACACACAGAGACACACACAGAGACACACACAGAGACACACACACACACACACACACACACACACACACACACACACACACACACACACACACTTCTTACATGCAGTCTTTACAGCAAGCCTGTTGGATTGCATTAACTTGTTGAGGGCTGTGAGTCCATTATAACCAAAAAGCCAAGAAACCTGAAATGGAGTATACTGCATGTCTGCATCTGCAACTAGCTATCTTTTCTTCTAATTGATTATAGATTGATCATTTAGACTGAAAATAGAAAAATAGGTGTAAGTGACACCATCAAAAGTTTATGTTCACAAAAAGCACAACAGAAAGAAACATTATTTAATTAGTTAATCATCAGTATAGCTTTATGGTGATGATTAATTTATTAATCAGCTTTAATTCAATGAATCAGTCATTGCAGTTGAAAGTTCAAACAAAGCTACAGAAAATGAATAGTAATCAATTCAGATTCTCGAAAGTTTTTTATAGCTTTGGGTAAATAGTGATCTTTGTCATCTTTCTGCATTTAATAACATTTAAAAAATAAATGAGTATTAAATTGAGAGCATTAAATAATGCATAGAACAACTCAAATATATGAATTATACGTTTGCAGCTTGAATTAGACGAATCCCTCACACATGCAGTCACCGAAGAATGGGTGCGTGGGCGGGTCTATAAAACTGACATACATTCCTGTGATAGGTAAACACCCAAACCACAGACTAACACTTGGTGAAAACCATAAAGATAAAAGGACAAACAATCACCTCACCATAAATGTCCTGACACAGACGAGTAGCTCCTTCTTCTCGTGTGACAATAATGTGTTAACCTCCTCTAACTCACACACTACACGTTCATTTCCTCTCTAATCGTGGGACAAACCAAATGCCACAGCACCTCTGTGTCGCCACCACAGCGCGGACGCATACCTGCGCACGGTGGAATGCGGCAGATCCTGCTGCACCTGTCTGACCGGTGCCGCCTCCTCCTCCTCCGCCGCTCAGGTGAGTGCGCCGCGGCTCCAGCTGCTGCCCTGAGCCAACAGGTGGAGGAGAGACGGAGCTGCTGCAGCCTTCCTGACGCTGACACACACTTTACCTTCAGCTCTGACCGTGGACTGCGTGTTTATTTGTTTACCTTTACGGGTAAACGTGTGATGAAGTGGCCTCACCTGCCAGGTGTGGAGCGTCCCACCCACGTGCCCTTCAGTGTCGACCCTTTGATTCAAAGGCAAGTTATTTCCGGGAGACCGATGAAACTCATTCTCCAGCGGGCAGGGGAGTCACCCTGTCGCGGCATGGCTGAAACTATTTTCACCTCACCTGACCTCATCCACCTGCCTGCGCGGATGCAAATGAGCCCAGTCACATGTCCGGCCTACACTAATCAGAAACTGGTGTATATCTACGGTGGCCGGGAGAGCTCAACCCACTTCAAAACAAGACAATGCATGCAAATAGAAGAGTAAGAAAACATCTTCATCAATTTGCCTAAACATGCATTGCAAAAAGTGACAACAAGTGCAAATACAGACAACTTCCTGAATCACAAACAAGTGATGAACCTCAGCTGGCTGAAGTTCCATGGGAATTTGCATTGCATTGAGCTCTCTCACCCCACGTTACCTAAATCTTTCTCTCGTTCATATTCTTTTTGCCATGTCTTTTTAGTATTTTCTAGTCTTTATTTCTGTAATAATTCACAGAGCTCACTACAGAAAATATTTGTGGATTCACTGATTGATTATCAGCCTTGGAGAATACAAATCAATCCCATCAATCAGACCTCATGAAAGCTTGGGATAAATGATTAGAGAGAAGAAGCCTTGTGCTGAGTTCAGTTTGTCAGTTGAGCTATCTGCTCTGTGCATGTGGCCTACTTTCAAATAGTAATCAAACAAACTGTGCTCATGGCCAAATAGCAATGCTGACGTGCAGAACAAAGACACTGTGTCAAGCACCAACATTTCTTTTAAATCAAAACAAGCTTCAGCTAAAGCAACACTGGTGATAGTTACAGGTTTCTTATCCATGTGACCACACAGTGGCTGAAATCAGCCTACACCCCTATTAAGCAAATTTAAATCCACTTCTGGCAGAGGATCCCTACATATGTTTGATTTTTTCCCTCAAGATTTACACATTACCTGATAATTGGTTGAAATTCAGAAAGAAATACATTATATGACAATGTTAATAATAAATGAAATAAAAGAACAATAATAATCATTGTCTCATTCCAGAGCTTTGGGGCCTTGATGGCAAATGCTCTGTCCCACTAGTTTTCAGCCTGGATTCAGAAAGTGACCACAGACCATTGCCCACAGATCTCAAGCTGCGCAGAGGTAAATTAAAAGGACTTAAAAGATTAGAAATGGTGGCCTGGTTCCTGAAGAGCCTTAAAAAACATACATTTTAGAATCAATCTAAAAGAAAAACTGGGAGCCAATGTAAAAACAGGTGTGATGTTATCATGTCTCTTGGCTCTAGTTACAAGTCTGGCTGCTGAACATTGATTGAACTGTAGAAGCTGCAATCGTTTCAAGATTTTCTGATTAAGACCAGAGAAAAGGAATTTGCATTAATCAAGGCGCAAGGTAATAAAAGCATGTATGATTGTTTCTGCATCTCTAATATTTGGATCCAATTTTTGGGAATATTCCTGAGATGGTCATAACACGATTGCATAATTTATGTAATTGTTAACTTGTTGTCAAACAATATGCAGTTTCAACATGTTGTGAGATGTGGTCAGTGGATGGCAGTATTTCTTCAGTGATCGGTTGGGGCACAACCCTATTTCGAGTTGATTTCAGCAACTCTGAGAGGAAATATCTCTTTGTTTGATCAAAACCTGTTAAAATAATGTAAATGGGATGTAGATATATGTGTAGGGCTTTCTAGCCTGTGCACCTTTTCTTCATGGAGCCTTGTGGCACAGAAGCTGTTTTCAGACAAGAAATCTGAAAATGTAGACATTTTCCAGAGTTTGCCTTTCACACATAAAGAACTGTACCTTTAACAATTCCTGAGTGCCTGAGCATAACCATTAAAAAGATATTAATTCAGTATCCACATAATTGCAGCCTGATTGTATAATTTTAAAACAATGGGATAAAACATTTGATGTATCCAGTCATCGAAATACACCTTCAAGGCCTAATTGAATCCATTGAGCCATGGAATTTTGTGATGAAGAATTATATAATTGAATAAAGAATAAAAACAATCAAATAACTATAATCCTTTAGTGGGGTGAACTCTTTGTTCACCCCACTAAAGGTCGGTGACTGTGTGTTAGCTTGTGTGTGATTGTTTGTGTGCTCTGAATCAGCAAACTCAGAAGAACTATTGAATTTCTAAACAAAACAAAAAAAGCAAATGTGTAATTTAAAAAAGTATCAATGTCCGTAGATGGCTAAGGCAGAATAGCTTCTGCAATGACCTGTTTATTCATGTTTAGCAATAAGTCAGATGTTGACCAGTATCGATTTTCTTGTTTATCTTTTTCTTCACAGAGGTGATAACCTTTATCTGAACTGATCAGTTTCTCAACTGCTGCTGGGAAATTGTGTAGTTGTGTTTGTGTTGACATGTGTGCAGAGGGCTTTGGGAAGGGGATGGTGAACTGGTGGGGAGTTGAAGTACGTGGAGGAGGGAGGTGAAAGGATAAAAAGGAGGGAGCAGCAGAGCAAGAGTCTACATTGTCAGCAGAACAGAATCCGGAAGGAGGATGGGTAGGACTCAACTGTGGCTGCTGGCCTCGCTGGCCTTTGCCTCTATCGCCTCACTGGTTGATGGAGCTCCACTGTGAGTAGATCTGCCTTTTTAACCTCTGCCAAAGAGTTTATGTTTTCAACCCTGTCCATTTGTTTTTCAGCAGGATTACGCCAATAAATACTGAGCGGGTTTCCACAAAACTTTGTGGAACAATTGTTCATGGACCAGGAAAGAACCCATAAACTATTACAGATCTTTTGACTAATAATAATAATAATGAATCTTGTTTGTATAGCCTTTTGAAGGAACTCGGATAAAAAACATAACATTATAGATTGAAGGCAATTCTGAAGAGGTGAGTTTTGAGTAGCGGTTTGAAAGTGGATAGTCTGATGTATTAGGGGAGAGAGAAGTTCAGAGCAGACAAAGCAAACAGAGTCCAGAGACGTGATGAAATTTGTTTTATCTGATTTAGATGAATAGAAACTTTAGCACACACTCTGAGACAGTGGTTTGGTGCCTGAAAAGCAGAGGGAAAAAAAGAGAGAAAAAGAGAGGAGGCTGCTATGAAAAAAAATTCACTTAGATGAATCATTAACCCCACTGAACCTATAGTCTTTATTAAGCATCTAAAGCAATTTCTTTCAGCTATTTTAATATATATATAATCATTATGAATTTTTAATATGACTAATTAAAAACTTGAACATAACAAAACATTTTCAGCAATTTATATGTATCTATATTTTAATCTACTCATTAAATAACCAATATTTTCACGCAATCATATGCAACATGCCAAATTCAAATAAACTATCAGTGACAATTGAAAGCTCATCTTGGTCTGTGAGTAAAATATTTAAATTGGCAAAGTATTTAATAGTACATAGTCAAATCAAAATAGTACAGCAAGCTGTTAAACATAGCGGATGTAGCTTTAAAATGCCTACTTGTCAGACAAAGAAAGGAGTCTGCTTCTTGCAAATGGGATCGTTTTTTGGAAACGTGCCGTGCACATGGTAAAGGGTGAATATGGCCCAAATACCACAAAACAAGTTCAGGCCACCTTTGGTTGACATGCAGTATTGCTATGGCTTAGATGTTGCCCAGATCTAGCAAATAGGATCAGACCACTCAATTGCCATTATTCTTTGCTGTATGGGCTGGATTACACAGTGGCAGTGTGACGGTCTGGGCCAAAACAAATTTTCTCTGTGTGAGTGCGTGCAAATAGATGACAGTATGTTTTCTATCTTTGTCTTTCCCTCCTATATTCTGTAGGAAGGTGATGTCTGCCCCGAACTTGTTGCGCGTAGGAACGACAGAAAACATCTTTGTGGAGTGTCAAGACTGCACAGGAGGAGACATTAAAGTCGATATCAACGTGATGAACCATCCGACCAAGGTCAATAGGTTGGCAACCACATCTGTGACGCTTACCAGTGGGCAAAACTTCCAGGCACTTGGACAAATAAGGGTATGTGAAACACTGTTGCTGTTAAATGGCGTCATTTTCTATCACTACCTCAGAGAGAAATGCTCCTTGCACACGTTCATTTGTCTACATGCTGCCGTCAGATCCCTGCTGGAGGCTTCAGCAAAGACCCCAGACTGAAGCAGTACGTCTACCTACAAGCTCAGTTCCCCGACCGCTTGCTGGAGAAAGTCGTCTTGGTGTCCTTCCAGTCTGGCTTCATCTTCATCCAGACTGACAAGACAATCTACACCCCCAACAGTAAAGGTCAGTTCATTACCACTTCAGTGCTGAGGAACTCACCCATATTTCTGCATGTAGGCCAGTGTAAAATATATCATCTGATTTATTTCTATCAGCTGGACTGATGCATTTTTTTTTCTATTTTTTGATGAACAACTGCACTGTAAATAAACCTCTGTCTCTCTTACTGTCAGTTCTTTACAGGATGTTTGCAGTGACACCCACCATGGAGCCGGTAGAGAGGGATGAACAAATTCAAAACGAAGCTTCCATTGCCATTGAGTTTGTGGTATGGAATTTTAACTTTGTATTTTAACACGTAATAAGAATTATAATTATAATCAGCTCAATGGCACATCATTTCCCATCTTTCACCTTTGTCTCCCACGTATTCCTAGATTAAAAAAATTACAAAAAACATTTAGCGGACCTCGTTCCTCAAAGTAACATTTCATGTTTTGAGGGATCTGTTGTAACAGTTTTTCCATCACTAATTGAACAAGTGTCCGTCATTGAGTTGATAACACTGAGGGATGTTGTTGAAAAGTCTTTGTTGTTGTTATACTTCACTATAAGTGGCAGGGTTCGCTGTTAATGGTTGCCCAATGATTTTTATTTTTAGACTCCTGAAGACATCGTTTTACCTCTTGATCCAGTCTCTCTGAAATCAGGAATCCACTCTGGAGAATACAAACTTGCTGAAATTGTCAGGTGAGTATTAAATTAAATTCAATGAAATTCAATTCAGTTGAGTTCATTTCAATTCAATTATTTGGGGGGGCATCATGTTGTTTATCTTTATATAGAGTCTATTGGATAGACAGAATTAACAGAACAGTGACAGACTTCATGATTTATTAGAGGGCCAACCTGGGTACTTTAGATGCAGTATTTGTCATTTTCAGACATTTTAAGTCTAATTGTTGCTTGTGTGTGTTTGTGTGTGTGTGTGTTTGTGTGTGTGTGTGTCTATGTCTGTGTGTGTCTTTGTGTGTGTGTGTGTGTGCATGCAGCCCTGGACTTTGGAAAGTCGTGGCTAAGTTCCACAGCAACCCACAGGAGAGCTTCTCTGCAGAGTTCGAGGTCAAAGAATATGGTGAGTCCCTTTTTACCTGTGATATTTACTGTAAAACCTACAGAGCATTCATCTATTTTTACTTACACAATAAACTTACTTGATATATTCAATTTTTCATGTTTTAGTGCTGCCCAGTTTTGAGGTGAAACTGACGTCTACAAGCCCCTTCTTCTATGTGGAGAGTGAAGATCTCACCATCAACATCAAAGCTACGTATGTGAAGGTTTTTGTTTTGTGGCTCTACAGAGAAGTGTTTTCATTAGTGGACTGATCGAATGAATTGGTTGTGTTGGAGCTTTTGCTGACTTAGTCCATTGTCATTGATAAGTGGTGGATCTAAGATTTTTCTAATTTAGAAAAACAATTTACAATGAGGGACCAATTAAATATCCGACATCCATGTGTAACTCCTGATCCAATAAGGTGCACATTTAAGTCATTCCTTGTTCACTGTTAGCTCGATAGTTTTGAGCAAAGCCACTTATCATTGAATATATTGTCAAAGGCTTTCCTTGTTCAACCACATTTTGTTCTGCAAGTATTGTTAGTAACTCATTTTTATTTTTTATTTATTAAGAAAAGGACCACTTACACGACATGGTCACTTCAGGGCCCTATCAGATTTCAACTGGGGCCAGTGCTCCCTGGCTCTAACCCTGGATCTGCCCATTTCATTGCTACATTTTGATGATCCCAATTTTAATGGTCCAATTTTTCTTCTTTGTGTGTTTAAACCTTCGCTTCTGGCTTTTAGGTATCTGTTTGGTGAAGAGGTGAGTGGCACAGCATACGTGGTATTTGGGGTTGTGCTTGAGGGTGAGAAGAAAAGCTTCCCCAGCTCTCTTCAGAGAATATCGGTGAGCACATGCTATAATATTGTTCTGTGTCTGTCTGTCTGTCTGTCAGTTTGCCAGTTGCATTGCATTTCATTACATTGTCACATTCCTATCTGCAGATATTAAATATTCATGATGTTCAGAATGAAGCCAGGCTGACCAGTACCTCCAACTGTTAACTGCTTACTGTCCAACTGTTCCACTATATTGTGTTTACATTTTTTTTGTGTTATGTCACATTAGATCGACAATGGTATCGGGTTGGTCCAACTGAAGAGACAGCAAATCACACAGAGCTTCCAGGATATCAATGCCCTGGTGGGGAATTCATTATTTGTAGCCGTCAGTGTGCTGACAGAGAGCGGTAAGAAAGAAAAACTGTGTGTTTGTGCCATTTCAGCATGTCTGATCATGTGTGATTCAGCAGCTCTAACATCTTATTCAATGTCATAGATGTCTAAAAACATCCAAGGTATCAGCCAAATTAAAAACTTCATATAGGATATGTGTCAGAAATTACAATTTTCATATTAGTTTAGAATGTGAACAAATGTAATGAGCCTGTGTGTGCGTTTGTGTTTCTGCACAGGTGGTGAGATGGTGGAGGCAGAGTTGAGAGGTATCCAGATTGTCAAATCACCCTACACCATCCACTTCAGGAAAACGCCCAAATATTTCAAACCGGGAATGACCTTCGATATTGTGGTAAATCTCTGACGCATTTTTGCAATTTTATCAAACTACAGCAACGTTCTATATTTCTTGAATTTGTTTCAATTTTCTAAAATTGTTTTGGCCCACGTGGAATGACGGCACTTGGGCAATATTCATCATTCTTCCTTTCATTTGCCCTTAATAAGATGTGATTAACTGTGTGCTATGATAATACAGGTGGAAATTTCTCACTATTTGACTTTTTGTTTCCTTAATGGCAGGTTGAAGTCACAAATCCAGATGAAACTCCAGCACAAGGTGTTGCAGTGGTGGTGGATCCAGGTGCTGTGAAGGGTTTAACTGCAGCCAATGGCTTTGCAAAGCTTACAGTCAACACAATGGCTGGAGTGGCAAGACTGCCAGTCACTGTAAGTGAACCGTAGTGTCTTGATTTTCATTTTTTCCCCTTTATACAACACAGCTCATTTGCAAATGGATGCTGAAACCTGCATCAAAGCACATTATTAATTGTCTTTTGCAATTTATTTCAATTTGATTCCTATCACCCAACTCTGCAGCTCTGTGCAGGTTTCAGCTACATTTAGCTTGTTATTTTGGTTCTGTTGGTTACAAATTTACTAGAAGAAGTAAGCAAGAGTAGGATCTTAAATTCCTACATGTCCCCCTTTGTGCCTTCTATATACCTTTTATATACTGTGCATAAAAACCCTTGACTCCTATTGTATAAAAGAAAAATTTTGAGTGAAATAGGCAGTCAGCAGCATGGCTGAGTATTTCCACATTAGCACTGCAATTAACAAATGCCAGTGTTTAAAAAAAGAAGACAAAAACAGATTAAGTGTTTGTGATGTCTCAAACCTAAGAAACCAATTCTGTCGACTTGCGGGTGGGGCCAAGGCTGCATTCATACTTCTATTTGTTTGAAAACACAGCAACTATGCTGTGGATGAGCCTGGTGTTCACATCATTTAAAACTGAGATGTTTGGAAATTATGACGTAGACACACACAACCGCCTGCTGATTGGATCTTTTCCAGACACGACTTTCAGACTCCTATCACATGACCCTGAAAACAAATGGCATTAGCCTTGGCTTCCACTGTTGAACGCAACATGGATAATCAATTACAGGTATTGTGCAGTTAAATTCTGCATTTTACAATGATACAACTGGTTACATGCGAAAGAAATGAGCTATTCCTGGAGCAATTCCTGTGTACACCGGCATGTGCACATCTTCCTGTCTACACTGGCATGTCATGCCCAGTCTATGTGGTCATGTGATATGCACTTTCAGGTGTGTTATTATGGATGGGAATAAAAAACTAATATGGGCCAAACTCTCACATTGGCAGAGATAATTTTAGTAATACATAGTAGTGTGGATAAAGCCACAGTCACTGGAAAAGGCTCCTCAGCCGCAGATTACACTGTGAGGGTGGAGAGACGGGGATCTGGGGCAGGGTCACATAAGCATATGTACATATCCCAGTCACAGACTTAGGACGGAATGTGCTGTGTTACATTTAAGCCATTTTAAGGTGATGAGTTTTAGGGATACAATCAACTGCTGGAGTAGGACTTTAAAACCCTCATCTATTCTCTTCAGTGTCATTCCACAGTAGGTTGGGATTGGATAGGATAGTACAGAGATCTTTTACATGTGTTTCCTTATAACCACGTGTGTATCTTATTGCAGGCTAAGACCAACGATCCTCTTATTCCACTTGCAAGACAAGCAGAAGCCACCATGACAGCTCTCCCATATAACACTAAAAGCAACAACTACATCCACATAGGTAAGTAAAAATAACTTCAGATGATAGTGATGATATGACAGTGATGGCAAAGTATTTGCCATGAACTTTTCAGTGTCTCGCACTCATTGCAAAATATTATTTTTGCAGGAGTGGATACAGCAGAGCTGGAATTAGGAGATAATCTAAAAGTTAACCTCAACCTAAAAAAGCAGTCAAATCAAGACACTGACATCACATACCTGGTGAGAGATGTTTTTCTGTGCCTCATGCTGCGACCTACGTAACCTATCAACTCCCGTTTTACTGATGTGTGAATCTGAGTCCCTAGATCCTGAGCAGGGGTCAGTTGATCCAAAGTGGTCGTTACAGGACAAGAGGCCAAGTGCTGATTTCCCTGATAATTCCCATCACCAAAGTAATGCTGCCATCATTCCGCATTGTAGCCTACTACCATCTAGATGACAATGAGGTGGTGTCAGATTCCGTATGGGTGGATGTCAAGGACTCCTGCATGGGCACAGTAAGACTCACAGCACTGATTTTGCAGAGTTAAACTAATTAAGAGAAGAAAAAAAACACGGCAAGTGAAAAAGTTGGTTCGGTATTTGTGGGGTATATTTTTATGTGTGCTTCAACAGGCACAAAACAGCACGTCCCATTCATTTATTGCCCTCCCCTTCATGTTTAGTTGAAGCTGGAATCATCAAGACCTGCTCCGTCCTACGAGCCTCGCAAGATGTTTGGTCTGAAAGTCACCGGAGTTCCAGAGGCCATGGTGGGACTGGTGGCAGTGGACAAAGGTGTCTACGTTCTCAATAACAAGCACCGCATCACCCAGAAAAAGGCAATTATGTTTATTCTATCGTTATCAGTGGAAATATTTTAAAAGGTGGTGATTTTAACAACGATGTAAAACAAGTTTTCAGTATAGCTCGTTTCAGACATGAACCCCGGAGTTTGCACATTCAGACATGAATGACGCAGCTGGAGATTCTCCGCTTAGACACGTTCACAACAACACAGAAATCTCTGAAGCATTTAGGGGGGTAGTGAGCAGGTAGGATGTAATGTACTCATCCGGCTGCAGAGATCACATGTTTTTGTTTACAGCACATTGACAGTGGCATCGGCCCTTATTACCAAAAGCTCTCTTGACATCTTCGTCTGCGTCTTGTACATGTGTGGCACAGCTTTTTCATCTTGAGATATTTGTTTATTTCACTTTTGCATCTGTCACGTGTTCATAAGTGCGTCTTTCTTTTGGAGTATCAGAGATTAATTTATTTCCTTCATGCCGCAACCTGTACGTTTGTATCTCTGTGTCTAAATGAATTCCGCTCTGTTCAGGTGTGGGACATTATAGAGAAATACGACACAGGCTGCACACCCGGTGGAGGGAAGAACAGTATGAGTGTGTTCTACGATGCCGGACTGTTGTTCGAGTCCAGTGCTGCCTCTGGGACTCCCTACAGACAAGGTGACACCGCTTTACTCTCATTTGTTTTTCCTTCTTACGTGACACTAATTTAATAAAACTGTCAAGATTAAGGTCAAACTATATCCTCTGTCAGTGACTCTACTTAACATTTAGTCTGTGTTGCATTTGCAGAATTGAAATGTCCGGTCCCCGCCAGGAGGAAACGAGCTACCACTGTAATGAACGTCACGACCACCTTAGGTAAGTAGTACAGCTCTAAACTTTCTAGTCCACACATGACTATTTGAATTTTGAATAAATAATGGCCCTAATGTGGATAAGACTGACTTGAATAGTTTATGTGTCTCTGTTTCTAATTTGCCTTGATTTAAAATACTCACCTTTCATTTTGTACTTCATCCTTTCTCACCTCTGTCTCTCCTCAACCCTCTTTCCAGTGAATAAGTATAAGAATGAACTGCAGCGAGAGTGTTGTTCAGAAGGCATGAAGGAGACCATCCTGTCATACACCTGTGAGGTGCGCAGTGAGTACATCTTGGACGGTGCATCCTGTGTCGATGCCTTCCTGCACTGCTGCAAAGAGATGGAGAACCTGCGGGGCGAAATGAAGCAGGATCAGCTCGACTTGGCTCGCAGTAAGAGATGGGTGATGAGGGAAGGGGGGATGAGGGCTGGGTGGGTCATCCACGGTCAGACCATAGATTGTATATAAAGATGGAAGACACATCTCTGCTTTCTCTCTGCCATCATGCGTATTTGGAATCAGAGTCTGAGCAGTAGCGATCAGGGGTATGAGCCACACACTCAACCAATCATGAATCAGTCATCAAAGAACTAGTTTTTTTGAAACTCATCAGAAAAAATTACCACTTGAACATACATCACTTTGATAAGAACTACCTACAATGACAGAAACGATTTATCACTTAATTTTTGCTTCTGTCGCATTTAAGAAACGTCATCAACATACCCACTTGCTCACACTGAGTCCTCCATAGAACCTTATGCTTTATTCTCACATCTGCTCACATTATGCAGCGTTTTTTCTAGGGGGCTGGTTGGAGAAACTCTGGAGAAAATTTGGATGCTCTCAGTCGGACATTTGCGTTCTCAAAAACAGCCCCTCCAGAGAAGAACGTGTCTGAAAGCAGCTTTAGAGGAGGCCAGATTTATCACCTATACAACAGTCAGCCGCCAGGCGGTGACCAAGATGGCTTAACTTTTGTGTCAATCCTTTAAGATCTATGGGTCAGACTGGTGGTTATAAGGCAATCAAAGTCGTAACCTTCCTTGTTAATGACTTTCCAGGTGAGGAGGACGACAGTTACATGGACAGCAATGAAATTTCTTCTCGCACCAAGTTCCCTGAGAGTTGGCTGTGGTCAGACATACAACTGCCTGCTTGCCCTCAACAAACACCCAACTGGTGAGGCAACTAAAATAGACATTCAAAAATGCTATACTTCGTTCATGACACCACTAACATTGAAAACCTTCTTTAAACTTTTCTTCGTTTCAGTGAGTCCACATCATTTATGAAGCCAGTTCCTTTGCAAGACTCAATAACAACCTGGCAATTCACTGGCATCAGTCTGTCAAGAACCCACGGTGACGATTCATTGAATTTTAGTTGTAGAACTATCATCTTAAGTCTCTCTCATCCCTCACACCCTTTTTTATTCATTCTTTGTTTCATCACATCTTATCCTTCTCTTCTTTAAGGAATCTGCGTTGGAGAACCATTGGAAGTGATCGTAAGGAAGGACTTCTTCATCGATCTCAGACTGCCCTACTCTGCTGTCCGGGGAGAGCAGCTAGAAATTAAGGCGATCCTCCACAACTACAGCCCTGACGTTATCACAGTAAGTCTGAGCGACACTGCTTTGTTGTTTCAGGCCAAAGTCAATGAGACCATGATCATTTTCCCCTCTGTTTTCAAAGAAAACGGCCTCCGTAGAGAGGACCCCCTCAGTGTAAATATAAAGTATTTAAATACAAAGGGCCTCTTCTAGGGTATAGAAAACAACAATAAATATATACAGTGACACACACTAGTGAAAACATCACTAGGGTTATTTTATATTCAATTTATGCCAATAGATTCTTTTCTCCTAAATTTTACAAACGGAACCTTTAAGTGATTGTTTCTCCTGGCTTCAGGGTCTAAAATTGGTTGATGTTTAGGCTTAAGGGTCTTAAATGTGGTAAGATATTACACGCTAGGTCTTAAATATGTTTAAGTAGGTAATTTAATTCTAAATCAGTTGCACTTTAAGATTACCATTATGTATTTCTGAGATAAATATTTTGGCTTCATGCATAGTTTCTAATTTCTCTTTGTGCTATAGTTCTTTCTTTGTGATATAGATATTAGCATACTCTATTAAAACTAAAAAACAAGACCAACATGGGACTTGGTCAGAGTTTGTCACAGTACACTGATACTGGCTGTAGTTTGTTAGAAAATATATGTAATTGTACTTGACACAGGTCTTAAATTTCCTTTATTATGGTCTTAAAAAGTCTTAAATCTAAGTTGTTGAAACCTGAAGAAACCCTGGAGATGTGTTGTAGTGGCAAACATGGCTCTTTCTCATTCTCAAGGTCAAAATGTTCTTTTGGAATAACAATTTTAACCATAAAATTGTTGTTAATTTCTTTTATTTACATCAAAGTGTACCTGAAATGGTCAAATATCAAAGAAATCATCAAAGAAGAATCCTCATAATAAAATGTATCTGCTCCTTCTTGAGGCAGATCTTTGATCCACTGCACATATACCTCACTCTTTGCTCTATCTTTGTCTCTTTGTCAAGGTGCGTGTGGATCTGATTGAGGAGGAGAATGTGTGCAGCGTGGCTTCTAAACACACAAGGTATCGCCAGGAGGTCAAAGTCGGGCAGCAAACCACACGATCCGTCCCCTTCGTCATCATTCCCATGAAGGAAGGACAATTCAACATTGAGGTCAAAGCAGCTGTTAAAGACTCATCACTCAATGATGGAATCGTGAAGGTGCTGCGGGTGGTGGTAAGAGAAACACACTCTGTAATATACCTCTTTTACACCACAATTAGCAGGTATAAGCAGTTTTTTAAAGGCAGGTAAACATGCTAAAAAAGGTGAATGACACCTTTCCCATTGCCAGAAGAGGAGTTTGCCTTTCTGTTTTTCCCTGGTGCATCATGTTCTACATCACAAACTCACCAAACACTGAGGTGCTCTCTCACCTTGCTGTCTTGCCCAATTGGCACTCCCAACCGGGTGTCACCTCTCCATCACTGCCGATCGGATCAAACCCATGTCTGCTGCAGAGTTATTTCACCAGGGAGTGAATATCGATTGTATCCATTGCTGTTGCAAACAAAAGCCAGATGTTAGTTGGAGTTTGCAGGTTTTATGAGACATGTATGCAAGATCTAATCACCACATAATAGGTCGGGGCAGTATTGACAGCTTGATGGGGTCAGTGGGCACGTCATCAGGGGCAGAAATGGCGATGAGTTCTATCAAGAAGCTGTGTGACCAGGCGTGGAATTATTTGTATGACGTTTCATTGACTTTTTGCGTCTTGATCTTTACATTAGCCAAATGTTGATCTCCTCAAGTGTCTCCATCTTTGTTTATGTTTACTGCAAGTGACAGTACCTAAGCATGTATAACGCTCACAATGCAGCCGGTTGCCTACGCCTATTTTCTTCTACACCAACATATCGTTTAAAAAGCAGTTGTGATTTTTAATGTTTGTCCTGGTGTTTCTTTTCCAGCCTGAAGGTGTACTGATTAAACAACCACAGATTATAACACTAGACCCCTCAAAAACAGGTGAGTTTACCACATAAACAAGTGCATTCAATAGTAATGTAGTCATGTTGTGTTTTTATTATTACTTGATTTGATGCTGTTTCTCTCTTCAGGAGGTGAACAGGTGGAAATTCTCAACAGTAGAATCCCCAGGAAAGATATGGTTCCAAACACACCTACTACCACACAGATTTCTGTGACAGGTGGGATCACGGTGCATTTGGACATGTAGTGTGTCACATTCCTACACAATTAATTCATTGGTTCTTATTTGCTTGTTTCTTTCTGTTGATTGAAAGTGCTTTGGTTTTTCTGTTGGTGTGTGTGCCTACAGGGAGGGAAAACGTTGGTCAACTGGTAGAGAACGCAATTAGTGGGCAATCGATGGGTACCCTGATCTACCAGCCATCAGGCTGCGGAGAGCAGAACATGATTCACATGACCCTGCCCGTCATTGCAGCCACGTATTTGGACAAAACCAACCAGTGGGAGACTGTGGGCTTTCAGAAACGAAATGAAGCCCTCCAGCATATCAAGACCGGTAAGATCACTCAGATGTATTTACTCGCACATACCTAATTTTACTGTGGCTGAAGTGATATCAAAACAAACAACACACAACATGCCGCCCCTGCTCCACAGATCTGAGCTACAACACACAAGCAGTTTTCAGACATGAACTCAAGAGAATGTTGCACAATTGGGTCCAGACTTTCTCAGGAGTTTTCCTTTCACACTAAAATCTCTCTTGACATCTTTGTCAGTGTCTTCTACATGTATGGCATCGCTTTTTCATCCAGAAATATTGGAATTCTTTTTTTCATTTTTGTGTCATTTGCATGTTAGAAACGTCATCAACACACCCACTCACTCCTGATTTCATGCTCACATCAGCTCATTCGAACTTTATCCAGAGCTTTTACTCAGAGGCTGGCAGGAGAAGCTCTGGAGCCTCTCACTCTGACATTTGCGTTCTCTCATACAGCCCCTTCATGTCTGAAAGCAGCTTAACTTAACAACACATAGACACATCCACAACTTAGGTTTCCACCAGGTTTGTCTTTTTTTTTGTTAAAGTCAGTTAAAACATTGTTTGTATTGTTTTTGTCCAGGCTACACGAACGAGCTTGCCTACCGTAAAAAAGATGGATCTTTTAGTGTGTGGGCCTCTCACGGAAGCAGCAGCTGGTGAGGCATCATAACATCTATGAACTCATACGTAGAACATTCTCTTATGTAAAGTAATGTCTATGAGAGGAAGGGTGTATTTCGTTTGCAAGTTATTAGAGCTTAATAATTACCCCCTTCCCCTTCCTAAGGCTGACAGCGTACGTTGCCAAGGTGTTCGCCATGGCTAACAGTCTGGTGGCAGTGCAGAACAACGTGATCTGTGACGCTATTAAGTACCTGATTCTCAACGCGCAGCAACCCGACGGCGTGTTCAAAGAAGTCGGAAGGGTGGCCCACGGAGAGATGATTGTGCGTGCACTAATTTCATCAACATCAGTCTTTAACTTAATGGAGATGAAGACCAACATTACAAGTTACATCACCATATACAAATAGAAATAAGTTTGTGCATCTGTGTGTGTTTAGGGTGATGTGCGCGGCACAGATTCAGAGGCCTCCATGACAGCCTTCTGCCTCATCGCCATGCAGGAGTCACGGACTCTATGTGCTGCGACTGTTAATGTGAGTACCTGCTCTGCATACATTTCTTTCACCCCTTTTATTTCTTAATTTACTCACCTCTCATTATGAAACTATTGGCTGACCCCTGACCCCTTATTTACTACTGCCACTCTTGTCAACCTTCCTGTTCTTGCACGGCACATACAGTTACAATAATACTTGTGGCAGATTTACTGCTCAAAAAGTATATTTACTTGTTACCGCACTTAATTCATTATTAAGTAGATTCTTTTTCAGGCACTTTTAGGGTTTGGGTTACCACACACTACACATATCAGCAAATATCTGTACTTTCTACTCCTTCAAGTTTTTTGCAAGCATTGCGTTACATGTTTCATTATATTGATTCCCCTTATCCTCTTTTTTTCTCTCCTGATGCCCAGAGTCTTCCAGGCAGTGTAGAAAAATCGGTGTTATACCTGGAGAGGCGTTTGGAAAGCCTCACCAACCCATATGCTGTTGCAATAACATCGTACGCCTTGGCCAACGAAGGCAGACTGAACAAAGATGTCCTCTACAAGTTTGCTTCTCCAGGTGCTGCCACACAACAATATTATATGAATGTATGGAAGCAAATATAATTCACATCCACAAATAATTACATTTATTAGAGCCGAACAACATTGATATTATGGGTGGATTCTAGCCCAAAATATAATGCACATCTCTGCCAAAGCCCAACAGTCCCCTTGTGAAACCGCATTTAAATTCACTAGATCCAGATCATCAAGATCCATGGATTATTCTCTGAGAAAACAAAAAAATGTCAAAGGCAAAAAAATGCCAAAATGCATGTCAAAGAAAGTGAAAACAAAATCCTGGATCTGTCCCCCAATCCAAATCCTATCAAAATGTATTATTTTAGTTTCTGTCATGCCCCGCCTCTCGACAAATTTTGATAAAAATCAGTTGAGTGGTTAATGTGTAATCCTGCTAACAATTAAGCAAACAAACAAAAAATATTGTTGTCTGTAAATTATATACATTTGCAAATATATATATATTAAAAACAAAATGTTAAATAACAATATCTGTATTTGCCTTAAAATTCCATTATCAGTTGGATTCTCATGTAAATAAGCTTGGATGTGCTCACATTTGAATTCCTCATTTTTAAGCAAAGTTAGATATTCTAAGTCACTGAAGTTTGTCACAAGTTCTTCCTTGTAGTAGAGAGTTGATTTGTCTGGGTTGTTTTCTTCAGAGCTGTCCCACTGGCCTGTACCTAAGGGTCGTGTTTACACACTGGAGGCCACAGCTTACGCACTTCTGGCTCTGGTCAAGACCAAGGTAAGCATGTCCCACTTACAGTAAGTGTGTTTCATCAGCATGTCGAGCTATACACAATAATACAGAACAGTCACAACACCATGCTGCCTCACTAAAAGGCTGGAGGGATTATCAGACTAGTGCAGTGCCTGTTCTAAAGAAAACAGTTTGGAATGGGCTGTTTGCTCGGCCTGTGCTAATGCTGGTTGCAGTTTTCTTGTAAAGTAAAAAACCATTGATAACCACTGATAATTGACTACTTGTATCAGGTGAGTGTCGAGTCTCTGCAAGGAAGAATTGCAATGATAGAAAAAAACTAATTTATATGGTTGGCTTCTAAAAAACTCAACCAAAACTGATTCTAAATCACTGAGACCTCAACCCTTTTCTCTCTGTTGATAAAGGACTTTGAAAAAGCCCGACCTATTGTGAGATGGTTCAACCAACAGCAGAAGGTGGGCGGAGGATATGGCTCAACTCAGGTAACAAAACATTCTCTCCATATGGACCTCTAGCAAGTTATCATGCATTTGAATTATCATTCATTCATTCAGACTTTACTTTAACATTGGAATACATTTAGGTTGATACCTCATTTACAAATTGCAAAGAGAAAATAAACAAAATTACATTTCATGAAATTTTATTCAAAGCAAATTAATCAACTAAAACAAGAAAAGCTGGAGGTAAAATAACGTGAGGTTGACAACTTAAATTGCCCCAAGTATAACAATTAGTTGAGCTTTAGATTGTTCTTTAAGTTGTGTAAATTAATCTGGACCTATGAAAAATATATTTTTTTATTCAAAGTATTATTTTCTCCCCCTCACTCCTTCTCTATCTCCAGGCTACCATTATAGTGTACCAGGCTGTAGCAGAGTACTGGGCCGCTGCTAAAGAACCAGAGTACGATCTGAATGTGGACATCTTGTTGCCAGGCAGGTCAAAGCCTGAAAAGATTGTCCTCAACGCGGACAACAGCTATACCACAAGAACATCTAAAGTGAGTGCACACTCTCACACACAAACCTGCATGTTACTTTCTGTTTGTTTCCTCTGCTGATCCAGTGTTTGTTTATGTGTGTGCGTGTGTATTTTATATCACCAGATCAATGATATAAACCAGGATGTGAAAGTGACTGCCAAAGGAACAGGAGAAGCAACAGTGACAGTAAGTAAAATACATTTTTTGTTGTAAGCTCTATCATCTGCTGTGTATCTGTTCTTTATTGATCCCAGATCAGACCAGATAAATGTTTTACCTAGTGTCGACAAAGCTTGTATGACAAAAACCCATTTTATGTGATATTGTGTGACAGATGGTGTCGCTGTATTATGCTCTACCTCAAAAGAAGGAGAGCGACTGTCAGAAGTTCAACATGTCAGTGGAGCTTATCCCAGGTAATTTGCCCGTCTCTTCATTTTTATTTGTTGTGATCATTTGCTGTCATTTCTCTGTTTGTCTCCTTGTATGTGTCTATTTTGTTTGCATAACTGCAAACTGTGTTTTCCTGCTGCATCTCCATCATTCTGCCAAGTTTTTCTTCTTTATGAGAGAGGATTTAATCCTCATGCATTATCTTCCTTTTCCAGAAAGGATTGATGCAGATGAGAGTATATTTAAGCTGAAAATAGAGGTTTTGTAAGTACAATAAAGAAATAATACTGACTGAAGTGTTTTTCATATTGTTTTAACTGTCTCATTTAATTGAACATTGTACATTTCCTGCACAGATATAAGGACAAGGAGCGTGATGCGACCATGTCGATCTTGGATATCGGTTTGCTGACTGGCTTCACCCCCAACACTAATGACTTGAACTTAGTAAGAGCTGTTACAGATACACGAATACCCACATAGAGGCAACGTGAGAAAGGAGATGTTAATGGTTTTGAAAGGTGTCTGACACTGTATGTTTGTGTGTGTAGTTGTCTAAAGGACGTGCCAGGACTCTTGCAAAATATGAGATGAACACTCTCCTTTCAGAAAAAGGCTCACTGATCATCTACCTGGACAAGGTAAGATGTAAGCCTTTCTTCCCCCTTTCCTCTTTTTCTCTAGACCTTGTTCATCACATTCGCTTAACATTTCTGTGCAGGTTTCTCACACACGGCCAGAGGAGATCACATTTAGGGTTCACCAGAAGATGAAAGTGGGCGTCTTACAGCCAGCGGCCGTTTCTGTCTATGAATATTATGACCGTAAGCCTCACACACACTTTTTGGACCCCCCCCTTTCTCTGGATCTGAACCAAAATATAATGGTTTCTTTCCTTGGCTATGTCTCCTCCATCCACCAAGTTTCATTGAAATCCATTCTGTAGTTGTTTTACATGACATACAATCAAGGCTGAAACCATAACTTTTATTCCTCTGTGGCAGATAGATGTCAGAGTTCATTGGTAGATAAACAGGCAATATTAGGATTTAATGTTAATTTTCACTGGTTTTCCACTGTTTATTTCTTTCCTGTTACAGAAACACAGTGTGTGCAATTCTATCACCCACAGAGGAAAGCTGGACAGCTACTGAGGCTCTGCAGAAATGAGGAGTGCACATGTGCTGAAGGTAAACAGGGTGGAGTCTCTTTGAAAACAAAAAACATCCATCCATCCACACCTACAATCTCCAATTAACCTAACCCCAATCTGCTTAACTTTCGACTGTGGGAGGAAGAAATAGTAAGCAAAGAAATCCCACACAAACACAAGGAGAACATGCAAAGACATGCTCAACACATAAAATTCTTCAAGGAACTTGCAAACACTAACATAGTTTTTCACGGAGCATAGATCATTCAGTATCCTCCATTGTCTGTTAAGTGCAGTCGTAAAGTATCCATCCATACACCTGCACATGTTGTCAATTAATCAAGTCATCACTGGTGTATTCACTTAGTGCCTACTGTTTATTTCCAGAGAACTGCAGTATGCAGAAGAAGGGCAAGATCAGCAATGATCAGCGCATAGAAAAATCTTGTGAGACTACACCGACCAGTAAAATAGATTTTGGTAAGACGAAATGAAAGTGGTCTGCATTTGTGTGTTAAGATGTGTTTCAATCTGAACAACTTGTGTTTGTGTAAGTGAGTGATTGTTAGAATAATCAAATAAGTGAGGTTATAATCTGTATCTTGTCTTTCCTCAGTGTACAAAGTGAGACTGGAGGAATTCACAGACGGTGGGTCTACTGACATTTACACAATGCGGATATTGGAAGGGATCAAAGAAGGTAGGTATTCATCACCTCTGTGAACAATCTGAAATTTAAATCATGTTAAGACCAATAGAAAAGAGGCGTTGGTATCCCCTGCATTGTTGTTTCTGTAAGCACACAGAGCAATAATTGCCCATTTAAAGAAAGCCCATTTATTTAGATATGTGCAGTGGGGCAGATGAAAAGACAATTAATTGATATCGGTGTTGGTAGGATTAAACAGACCAAGTGCAGCTCCTGGTTCCATCTATAAGTTAGCTAGCTTCAGCTGTAGCTTCATTTTTACACAAACATTCTTGTTAATCCATCCTCTCATTTAATTCTCAGCTACAAAGCAAATATTCCCCAAAATGTCTCACTGTTCCTTTATGTTACACTTCTCCTTTAGCTTTGCAGTCAATCCTCAAGCATCTTCTGTCTCTTATTTTAATCGCAGGAAGTTACGATGTGGCTCCTCAGGGGAAACTGCGCACATTCCTGAGTTATCAACACTGCAGGGAGTCTTTAGATCTGGGCAAAGGCAAAATGTACCTCATCATGGGCACATCAAAAGATATTCACAGAGATGACCAAAATGAATCGTAAGTTTCTTTGTGTCTGAAGAACTGCAGCACCCATGTGATCATTAGTTTCTGCACCTTTTTCATATCATATTCCATCATATTTTCACATGTGGTATTTTACTCTGCTCTCCACAGGTATCATTATGTGCTTGGGGAGAGAACCTGGATCGAGTACTGGCCCACAGAAGCTGAGTGTCAAACCGAGGAGCACAGACCAACTTGTTTGGGCTTGCAGCAGATGGTCCAGCAGTACTTGCTCTTTGGATGTCAGCAGTAGTGTAACTCGAGAGAAAACTGTCCATTTCAAATTGGTTTTATTTTTTGCATTACCTTTGTTATGTAAAACTTTCTCTGCTATGAGATGTGAAAGATTTAGAGGTTACTACATGCATTTTGTTGATTAAAATGTAATGGTCTTAATCTCTTTGTCTGTGTCTTATTTTAATCAAACTCATACTCTGCTTGAGTTTGATCTGCTTTGATGTGGAATATAAGACAACTCATAAACTATGAATCAATTAATAACTGCAGCAGTAACAACAGAAAATGTTACTCTAACTGAAATGCTGTGATTCTATTGGCTAAATTGGTTTAGCAAGAAAATCCGGAGAAAACAAATACTGTGAATAAAAATGCATAAGAAATGTGATGCAGCAGCCTCTCACAAAATTTAAATGAACATTACATTAGTTGATTATATTGTTGTGTCGACAATGAGTCTGTGTTGATGGCATCTTAAGCACATGTGGTTGCTCTAATCAAAACGTTTTCTGTCCTTACTTCCTCACACTATTTTGAGTGTTCATTCCAAAATACTCAGCTCTGTGCCTGTGACGAACCATGTAAGAAGGGACATCATGAGATCTGCTTGATTACTGCACACAGAGAACATAGATTTCACAAACACTCCCTTGTGGCAAAATAAAAACTTCTGCCCCACAAGCAGAGTTTAGATAAGATACTTTATTGATCTCATGCCAGAGAAATTCACTTTTTACAGCAGCAAATAAAAAGTTGATAAAAATACAAAG